ATGTGGTTTAGATAACATCCCCAATAGATTACTGAAAGTCGCCGCGCCGTTTATTTACTTGCACCTTACTAGTCTTTTTAATTTATCAATTATAAGGTAGGCATTTTCCCTGCTGAATTGAAAAATGCCAAGATTTCTCCAATTTTGAAGAGTGGAGTACGAGATATTTCTAGTGACAATTAAGGACCTATATCTGTCCTAACTATATATCTGTCCTAACTATACAGTGTTTGAAAGACATATTTATGGCCAGCTGTATGCATACCTTATACAAATATATAATAATTTAATTTATTCTCTGCATTCGGGATTTAGATCGCTTCACTCAATAATGACTGCACCAATAGATATGAATAATGACTGATGATTTAAGATTGACCGAGGGATGTTAAACGGTGTCGTCTTCCGTCTTGGACTTAAAGAAAGCTTTTGACACCGTTGATCATCTTATTCTTGTGACCGTAAATTATAGAACATTTATAGGATTGGAAAAAATAGCGGTTGATTGGTTTCGATCCTATCTGACTGACAGGCATTAAGATGTTTCTGTCTTAAGATCATTTGGCAATGTGTTCCAAAGCTTCGCGCCAGAAAAAGCAAAGCTTTGTTTATAAAATTCTGTTTCGACTGATGGCAGTGACAGGTTTAAATTCGCATTACGTAGACCAAAGAATTGAGCTCCGTCATTATAGTTAAATAGCTCTTTCAAATAAGTTGGAGCATTATTGTTCAAGATATTAAACAACATGGATATTTTAAACCGTTTCCTTCTCTCATCTAGAGTCGGCAACCCAAATTTTTCGAGCAGGTCAGTAGACCTAACAGAATAATCGGGCCCGGCTAATAATACGAACAGCCCAGTTTTGTATTTTTTGCATTTTATTTGCCAGTGTATCACTCATAGAGTCCCAAACAATGCAACAGTAATCAAAGTGTGGTTCAATGATTGAATGATATATAGTAATGAGTTGTTTTTCCGTCAAAAAATTCCTAGTTCTACGTAATAAACCCATGCCAATTGAGACCTTTTTAATAACATTGTCAACATGTTTCTTCCACATCAAATTTTCATCAATTGTAACTCCTACGCATTTACATGTCTTAGCCTACTTTACAAAGTGAAATACCTCCAATAGAGAGTGCAACATCATCATCAATGAAGCAATCTTTTGCCGAGTTCCTATAATCATATATTCAGTTTTTAAGGCGTTTAGAGTTAATTTATTAGCTATAAGCCATAATTCCATTTTTCCTAAATCACGGATGAAATCGATAAATTGTTGATGTATATGAGAAAGAGTAGAGGTTCAAGTACAGAGCCCTTAGGGACACCACAAGTAATTTTAAACTCATCTGAGAAACACCCATTGACAAAGCATCTTTGGTAATATAAAAAGTTTTAAAGACAAATTGGCTACACATCATCTCTCTGTTCTCTAATCACTGATATATATTTGATATAATTAAATTGCATGCACGGTTTACGGGAAAAACAAGGATGTAAATATCTAAATATGTTTTCTCTTTCATGTAATTACCGTGTTGAAATAATTTTTTTAATAATAATACTATCACTTTAAAAGAGTGGAACGCTGTGTAGCGATTAATATAAAATTTCAAGATTAAAATAACTACCACACATATAGTGTACAATTACACAACTAACATATATATATATATATATATATATATATATATATATATATATATATATATATATATATATATATATATATATATATATATATATATATACGACGGAAATCTAATGGTTTGGTATTTGTGAAAACATCACGTTTAGTTTGTATTACAATAGCTTTCGATGCGTAAGCCTGCATGGATCTTCACCTGCATGCATGCAGTGTACTAAATTATTATATTTCAGAAAAGCCATTAAATTATTATAGCACCGATGAATACCGGACTTGCGTGGAATGTAAGCCTCGTCAAAATCAAAGCAAAGAAATAAACGGATATCAACAAAACAAAACAAAGCAATTATATTTATTTTTACCTTGCACAGTGGTATATCTGTTAAAAAATCAAATTCAATGCAATTATTGAAAAAAAGCTCCACAAAATGCGTGATAGCGGCTACCTTTTTATTTCGAAATTAAGGTACTCAGCTTCAGCGTAAGTGCCGAATGTGTACATGAAGTCTGTCCTGTCTTCTGCGATATTGGCCAATGGCATGGGAAAGAAAACAAGTGAGTTTATACTATATTGCATGGCAACGAAATTTATGTCTCCCTTAGGCAAAAGGATCTGTAAAATAGTTTACTCTATATGTACAGCTTATCGTTTTTGTTCTAGAAATATTTCAGTTTCTTTTTATATGTAAATGAAATAAATCTAATGACATTACAAGCGAGTAAAATGTTAGTCTCGTCAAAGGTACAAAAATGATGAAGTCGCTCAAACTATATTTTCATTCCTTATTTATTCCTTATTTCATTCCTTATATATATATATATATATAATCCCCTAATATAATATAATCCCCTGGAATATGTACTTTAACTCCATTGACATAATATATCGATACGCATGTGCACACTATAAAATATATTTTCTTAGTGCATGTTATTTCTATATGCATGTGCCGTGTTATCGAGTCGTTCCACTTAATAAATATGATTAAAATTGGCGGCAATTTACAATGGACTCGCTGTTGGCGCTACGCAAATTAATGTTCTTTGCTTGTCCCTGAATATATATTATACAAATATTTAATCCTTTCAATTCCTAGTAATTCTTTGGTTTTCCAAATACGAAACTGAAATTAGACTGCAGTATGTAGATCGTGCGTATAGGCAGCGTAGCGACATCACAAATGCAATTCACAAAGAATACATGTACAAAATCAACTCACCCATTGATTTTGCAACGCAATCTCTTGCTATTCATTAAAATTACATGCATTAAAATTACATGCAATGAACTAATAAAATTCATGTGTGACTCGTGTGTTTTGGCCTGGCTTAATTATATATACAGACCCAATTAGAACACAATATCTCTGTGATGAATTTCAATATAGTGCATATATGACTAACTAGTTGCAAGCTTGTGCATGGGGGAGTACAGACATCCTGTCTCTATAGGAATTGGAATTTTTGTTAATCGCCACCCTTTTTCTGAACAAAGAAAATTAAAAACAAAGTACTTACATTTTAAATAAGTAAACTTAGTCATTTTATTATGAAAGTACATGCAGGAGCTAGGAAACCTTAGGTTGCTTATATACTATCAGTTCTAAACTCTTCCCCCCAAAGGTCCAGTAAGGAAGTCCGTCCGTAATTCGTTGGTACATGCATGTTATACTAGCAAATCAGTTGCCGTATACGTACAAACCTGCATGCTCTCTGCATGCATAACTTTCTGTGTGGAAGTTTGTGACCGTTGGTTAAAGGAATGAAAAATATAGTTTGAGTGACTTCATCATTTTTGAACCTTTGACGAGACTAACATTTTACTCGCTTGTAAAGTAATTAGATTTATTTCATTTACATATAAAATGAAACTAAAATATACCTCGAGAACAAAAACGATACGCTGTACATGCATATGGAGTAAATTATCTTGCGGATCCTTCTGCCTAAAGCAGAATTAAATTTCGTTATACCATGTATTATAGTATAAATCTCCCATTTTCTTTACAATACCCATTGGACAATATCGCAGAAGACAAGACATCATGTATAGACATTCAGGCACTTACGCTCAAGCTAAAGTACCTCAATTTCGAGATAAAAAGGTAGTCGCTATCACGCATTTTGTGTTTTTTTTCCAATAATTGCATTGGATTTGATTTTTAGAGATAGACCACTGTTCTGAAATGTAATAATTTAATACACTGGGGAAGATCCATGCAGGCTTACGGATCGAAAGCTATAGTAATACAAAATAAACGTGATGTTTTCACAAATACCAAACAATTAGATTTCCGTCGTGCAATTATGCAAACAAGGCTTTTAACGGCGAAATTGACTATAATTACAAAACGGAATGTTCACGAAATTGAAGTGCTAAAATCTACTTGAAATAGATCGAGATGAGTGTATGATTTGTGCCTTTCTTCAGTGACATACCTTTCTGTACCTCGATATGAGAGTTTTTTGAGAGTTCTTCACTCAACCAAAAACACTCGATGTCCAAGTAAAACAGTTTAGAACTGATATCCTGTATAGTTATATAAAGTTAGATTGTTTTTTTCTGATGTCGCATAACGCCTGAATCCACGGTATCGGTGAGAACAGCAGTTGCTGCAGTTCGCACTGAAAGATCGAGGTAGCTATCTATATGATATCCAGCATTAACATCGGTATTAATTGACAGTTCCGACGCTGCATATGGTTATGCGGGTTGCAACGTCTTCATAAGCCGTTTATTTTTGTTTTTTGCGTATATCTAAGGATTTATATTTACGAGCTAGGTCGCGCGCGAGGGGGAAACTCATTGTCGGTATTTAAAACATATGCTTTTTGGCGAATCATGTGAACAATAATTATAATATGTCACATGAAGTGGTTTGATACCTGATACTTGATACCTGATTCTCAGTAAAAATCTTCATTCGTAGTTCTTTATATAACTAGTCCATCCTCATTATAGTATTCTTATTCTTGTCTTTATGAAAAGAATACTAAGGAGACGACATATATTGTAGACGTGTTGTAAATCGTTTAAACCACTTATATATATAGTCGTGTTTTATCATATCTAAAACAGTGTTCGCGCTCGCATTTTCAGTTTAAACTGATGGGAGTGCGCAGCGCGAGCATTTTAGCTATGATCAGAAAACACGACTACAAGTGCTAATTTTAATAGTATATAACTCATGGCGTTACTATATTGTGTATTAAGTCTGTATTACATTCCTTAACGTTATCTTATAGCCTAGTATAACATAATGGGCAATTTTCCGTTCCAGTAAAATATTCTTTCACTTTCATATAGTCTTCATTCTCATGCTAAAATATAAAATTATAACTGAACAAATTTTCTGGTTAGTTGTGCAATCATTTTGAGGCACTTCAGTCAGGGAGAGAGGTATGACTATAATTTATATTTATTGATAGAAAAGATTGTCATGAGTAATTTGATGAAATACGACTTCGTTGACTTAGGCCATAAATCGCCACAATGTTGAAATTGACTGAACATATATGCTGAGGAATAAGGAGATATTGTTTCACTGAATTGAATGGTGCCGGTATTTTTGTCCTTGCTGGACTCACTGAACTGAAGCTATGAAGCTGGAAAGTTGTTGCTGAAACCATAGCGCAATGTCATGGTTAAATCTGGACCTGTATATAATGATTAATCTTATCTTTTCTCATGCATAGCCGTATAACAATAGACAATCTTCCGTTTCAGCAAAATTCTTTCACTTTGATAGCCGTCTTTGTTATGCAAAAAATAACTGACAAAACACATTTCCTTGTCAGATGTGCAATCATTTTGCAAGACACTTTCAACGAGAGCAACTTGAAGAAAACTAAACTGAGAGAAAATTTATTTGGTAAGGTTGTACTGACAAATGTAAACTAACTGGTGCATGCAGTATACTGTTTGATTCCTACATATAGATATATTTTATTCCTTTCAACAGCTTAAGCTTGATCTTATTCTGTTTCATATAAAAGCGCGCGGTTTAAACCGATAGAAACTAATAACATAATTGATTTATATATATATATATATATATATATATATATATATATATATATATATATATATATATATATATATATATATATATATATATATATATATACATATATATATATATATATATATATATATACTCAACTGCATGGTGGATCACAGACACAGGGTCAGCGTGCTCTTTTAAATCTTAAGCTCGAATAAAAGTATGGAATTTCTGCAACAACAAAAAATCTTTTCAAAAGGAAAATAAAGGGACTAATGGGGCGAGCCAACATGTCTTTATTCACATCTGTCATTTCCTCAGAAAACATGAGAACTATATAAATGTACTGAAGCCTATAGGGGTAATTAATCTATGAACCAGTAGAGCCATCTTAAAATCTAAATTGCATGGATAGTAAGAGTTTTTCAGGACTCAAATGACTCAGGTGGTTGCAAGGCTTTTTTATTAAGGAAATATAACTTCTACGACATCAGAAGGCCGGCAAGGATGATAAAGCAATTTTGATGTCACGGTGTAGGTTTCAAACTTGAGTTAAAATCGTGCACCTGGGCTTGTATTCCATCACTGCGCAGGACTGGTAAACTGATTGAGCGACATGAAGTGGGGGCGGGTGTTCAACCATTTTCTCAGTCAAAATTTTGTCTGAATACCAGTCACCCGACCCACTGATTACTGCCAAATTCCATTCTCAACAGGAAACTTTTAAATTCTGTGTTGCTGGTACAAATGGCACAAATCCCATTCTTATTGTGATCCAAATTCTATTTTTCCTGCGAGAATATAGGCTACACCCATTTTATTGACCCCTTCATGCGCCAGCTTCATTACTAATACGTATACAACGGAGCTGCCTTCTTAATTATTATTAAATGTAATGAATGTTTTCTTCGCTCAAACTATCCCTTTAATGGTGAAAAAAATATGTTTGATCTTTATTATGTGAGTTTACTAAACATGACCATTTTTATGAAAAATGTTGAGCATGCACTTCGGCTCCGCGCATCCTAGTGCTTTTAAATGACCGATTACATCAAGTATTACAATTGCTTGTATTACATACTCTGCCTAGACAATTTATCCTTACAACATTGTGACGTACATTAATTTCCTAGCTATGTTTATCCAAATCAACCCTGCATGTTCCACGATTTTCGGCTGCACAGCGTTGACCCTTTTCACGAAATACAGCCAAGTCAATAGTCATAATAACTAACAGTATAATCTAGGGTAATAATATTATAATTACTTCAAATTGTTTGTTGTTGTGGACTAAATATAATTCTCTTAAATATAATTCTCTGACCGTTCTAACACCAGTAGGTGTCCCTCGTGTCTTTCCGTTTCAGGAACCTCCTTATGAAGCTGCAGGAGATACACGTAGTATTCAAATACATTATAACGATTATATAAGGAATTAACCTGTACTTATTTCGCAAAAATTTTTGGACTTTGATGATTTTACTGAATTTTACGAAGATATGAACCTGCGTATATATAGTTGCTAACTTAACTAAAATCATACAGCGATATCGTCATGGTTAAATCTGGACCTGCCTATAAAGATTAAGTTATCTCATCTCGTATAGTATATAGCAATAGACAATCTTCCGTTTCAAGAACATTCTTTCACTTTGATATTCTTCATTGTTATGCAAAAAATATCAAACTATGACAAAACACATTTCCTTGTCAGTTGTGAGGCACTTTCCGGCAGCGAGAGCAACTTGAAGAACACATTAATTTGGGGAAATTAACCTCTCAGAGAAAATTCATTTGGTAAGTTTCATGCCACTGACTATCAAACTAATTGATGCGGTATACTGTTTGATTCCTATACAGTTTTTTTTATTCCTTTCAACGGGCTTTAAGTTCATTTGTTTTATATATAAGCGCGCGGTTTGAACGGATAGAAACTAATAACATAATTGATCTATTCTCGACAGGTGGGTCAGCGCGCTCTTATAAAAATTTGCTATATCTTAAGCTCGAATAGAAGTATGGACTTTCTGCAACAGCAAAAAATCCTTTGAAATGGAAAAGAAAGGGAATATGGGGCGAGCCAAGATGTCTTTATTTATTTTTGTCATTTCCTCAAAAAAGAGCTATATATAGATGCATGTACTGTATAGGAGTATACTTAATCTATGAACCAGTAATATAAAGCCGCGTCTTAAAATCTAAATTGGATAATAAGAGTTTTTCAGAATTAATATTCAATTTTTTTGCAATATGGCGATTTATTGAAAAGGTCCGAAGGACGAAACTTGTTTGAAATCGTCTTTTTAGTCTTATTTGAATTGTATATATGGTGTAGAAAGCTGACAATAATAAATATTTTATAATATCAATGAGTTTAATTAAAGCTTTCCTGGCTGCAACGACAGATATATCTAAAAAAAAAATAATTCAAGTGACTGACAAATATAACCACTCACCATATTGGATTGTTTGAAGGACGGCAAGAATGATGAAGCAATTTTTATATCACAATGATTAAAAATAGGTACGCACTGCGTACATGTGGCTAGCCTATTCACTATTCAGCCTGTCGAATACAGCTGTAGTTCACATTGTCATGAACATTCATCACAAACATTCATCACAAACATTCATTGTGATACAAAATTAATAATTACAATAGAAGAATGTTCAAAATAAAACAGATGTCATTATGTCATCACCACTAAAGCTTTTGTGTGATAGTTGTATTGCCCTCATGATGATACTTGCATATCATGATCTTCCTATATTATCCAATTTTATCACCAGTCACCAAATTATCAGCAAATTGTCCAGAATATGTGTTTACTTAGTTGTTTGAAGTACTGTAGATGTCATGCATCACTGTGATTTTGAATTGGGCTTTTATCTGTAAATTGTTTAAAATTAAGAACCAAATACAGTATATTTGCTGGCAGATCACAAAAATGAAATATTGTAAATGATGCAGGTATAAATTTAAACAACATTTAACTCTTTATAGCTATAAAAGTATAAACATGCTACTCAATTGACACTGCTGTTATTAAATGCTGAAAAGAAAGGTTGAAACTTGTCGATATGACCTCAGCACATTATGGCTGTGGGTTTGCTTTTTCATATACCCACTCAACTGCTAGGGTCAGTGTTGTATAGTGATTGCACTGATCTTCATGAACGTAGAAAAGCATCTGTCATTGGGGGAGGGGTGGGGGGTGCCTGAGAATTTTACCTGAAATCTGAACTTCAATGTTAAAAATCTACCTGAAGTATAATAATTCCACTGTCATACTAAGTTCCCTAAGAAAAGGGGGTGTGGGGGTCCTCCCCCAGAAAATGTTTACATTTTTGAAGCTCCAGAACTGCATTTCTGGTGTTTTCTAAAGCACATTTACAAACAAATTGGATCTAAATTGACTGTATCAAAAATGCTTATCATTTCACAAAAATACCAACTTTATTATGCAAATTTAACCTGAAAATGTCAAGATTTATATGTCCTTATAGATCAGATATTATTTACATCTGGACCGGATATCCAAAAATAAACTGCACCAGCTGCTAGCCACAAAAATCGTGCACCTGAGCTTGCACTCTGTCACTGTGCAGGACTATGTTTTTACTGAAACCGTTTAAGTAAGTTCTTTTAATTTTAAACTCGTTTACACTATAGAGTTTTTGTCACGAAATGTTGAAGTTGATTTTTGTTCGTCGCTATATAACAAAATACTTAATGCCTGTTCCCTCGGGAAATAGTTAGTTTTGTTTTCCCTCGAATCTTTAATGTTTCCCTCGACTTCGTCTCGGGAAACATTGAGATTCTCAGGAAAACAAAACTAACTATTTCCCTCGGGAGCAGACATTAAGTTTATAATATACAACCACAGTTAATAGGTCTATTAACTTGTGATACAGCTTATTTCGCAAAAATGTTTTAAATTTTGCTACGTTGAGTTTGAATTACTGATGATACTGAGTATAAATGCTTGATTACACTGGCCTGTAGGCCAAGTGTCTTAAATCCCTCTTTTTCTGTTTTTTTCGTAGTCGAGAAATCGAGTTTGCGTTAGCTCATCGCAGGCTCAGGGTGCAACGATCAAGCCAAAATGCCATCGATTCCCTCGGTTCCATGATTTAGATAGTATAGTACTAAGCTCGTATTTATGTACGTAATAGTCGACTCATGCCATGCTTGTGGTACATTTTTCGTTTATTAGCCCATACACTTGTACGCACGCGCACAATTCCGAACTCCAACGGCGGCCTTTCACAGAGTGATCAAACTGTATTTTACACAGTTTCGTTTAATTTTCAAAGAATTGTGCCGGTTTCCTAGGGATTTTACGTTGTGTCGTACTCTGGACTTTCTTGCGCGTTGAATTGATGTGTTTTTCTTTGTGTAACGACTCGAAAACCACAAAATTTGGACCCAGCGAATTTATACAATATATAGAAGGATATTTAAACAAGGACAAGTTAAAGGTTTGACAGTTTGACTTTTTAACTGACAACTATAAATATACGCCGTGGACTCATAACATCCGTTGTGTACTTGTGTTAAGACCTGTTAATTCTTGCGTCGCACTCTGGACTTTTTTGCCTGTTGAATTAATGTTTTTCTTTTTGTATTAAATTAATAAACGACTCGAAAACCCCAAAATTTCATAAATTTGTACCCAACGAATTTATACAATATATTGGAATATAAACAAGGACAAACTCTGCTAATTCCTTACGATAGTCTTAGTCAAATGTTGACAATATACCTATAAATACACGTATTAAAATCCGCGCAGTGATAGAATTAAGAGAATTCGCGTAGCGCTGGCCGCTGGGTGCGGAAATTTTAGTACTTCGCGAAATATAATCCACGCGAAAAGCTTTGTGGTAGCTATACTAAAGATAAAGCGTGCGTTCAAAATACCAACAAGAACTAGAACCATTATTGTATGGTTCTCATTTGCTAGACTTGCCACAAGTCGACCTCGAAGAAACGCATTTCGTTCGAGGACACTTGTGGGCTGTGGATTTGCCTAATACAATAACATTTAGTTCAACGCGAATTTTAATACAAGTACGGTATCATATTTCATGATATAACAAACAATGTAAACTAGCCATATATTTTGCCGAACATAACTTCGGCCCCTTTGGACATATCTTTTTCAATTCGTAATAATATTATTGGAACCAGAATCGAAAACACTATTTATAATGTTATTTTCAAGCTTGTGTCTTGGGATTTTCATCTTTTATTTCGGTATTTACAGAATATTTATATTTTTAGCGCGGCGATCAAAACAACGCGCTGATTAGGAAAAACCGGAAATCGATTCTGTAGGTCGGCATGATTTGCACTCTGAGAAAACCAACAATACCAAAGTTATCAAGGATCAAACGTACTGCATTTTTTATAATTAGTTGAATAATTTTAAGCGATTCGTTCGCAATATAATTTCGCTTGGACTTCAAAGATAAAGGCCATAAATCGCTAGAATACTGTTGTTTAGTCATACATTTGACACCTGTAAGTACAATTTCGTACGCTGAATCGAACGGTGGTATTTTTATCCTTATTGCGCCATTAGGAGTTAGAATTTAGTACAAAGTCAAGGACAAACGTACTGCGAGTGATTTGTCAACAATACGTACTGCGAGCGATTTGTCAACAATACAATTTCGCTTGATTTTGAAAGGCCATAAATCGCTAGAACAGGGCCGTGGCGAGGGGGTATGGGGGGGGAGGTGTGGTTAACCCCCCCCCCCCAACTTTTGTAGAATTAACATATTCGGAAAATCGAGTTGGCCATTCGGAAAATTACGGCAATAATAGTATAATAAAATTTTAGCGGTTGTTTAAACAGAGAAAATATTATAAAATGGTATTGTCATTATAAACCATTGGTATAAACTGATTTACGAAATCACGGCATTTACATGGATAACGTAAAACAAATCGTAAATCGGTAAATGTTTTTCGGTTTATTACTTCTCAGGGCCGTAGCAGTCGGGGGAAGGGGGGACTGGGGGCAGCAGCCATAACAATAATTTGCTGATAATCATTCTTTTTTCAAAATCATGCACACCTTTATCATTTAAATAATATACCTTTAAAATACTGACAGTAGACTAGAGGTGTGCATCGGATCGGATTGGACGTTTATAATCCGACAATTGCCTAATGTTTAAAATCCGATCCGAAAATGTCTAATTCGAATCCGATCCCAGTGTTGAAAAAGAATTCCAATCCGATCCGATGAATTCTTTAATAAAATAAATTTCTCATTCAAGTTGAAATATTTAAACAAATAAATATAAAAGCAAGAGATACATGTCAAGAAGCTGACGTCCAATTGAAGTATCAAACGAATAATGCAGCGAAAACCGCGATGATACTTTGATAAATGTATGGATAATTAATTCTTGCGATAATGCATGGATAATTAATTCATT